TACTCTGCTGATGTCATTTTTAAATGTTCAGAAAGTTAATATATTTTTATTTTGCTGATTTTAAATGTTTGAGTAATCGATATCAACACATTTTTTTTTCTTGATTTTCTAGATACATGAACCAAATGAACTCATTCTTTTCTTCTGTTTGCCTTTGGTTAAAACAGTTTAAGTTGGGGATACCTGGGTGGCTCAGTGGTTAGGCATCTGCCTTCGGTTCAGGGTATGATCCTGGAGTCCCAGGATCAAGTCCCACATCAGGCTCCCTGTGTGGAGCCTGCTTCTCTATGTCTCTGCCTCTCTCTCTCTCTCTCTCTCTCTATCTCTCTCTCTCTCTCTCTCTCTCTGTGTGTGTGTGTGTGTGTGTGTGTCTCATGAATAAATAAATAAAATCCTTAAAAAAATTAAAAAAAAATAAAACAGTTTAGGTTGGATTGTCTGCCACTTGTAAGCCAGTGAATCTTGACACCACACATAATGGGATTCTTCTGAAGAAGAAGGGAGATAATGTTTGTGAAACATAGCATCATGTGCAAGACATCATAAATTCTCCATAATGCTAGCTATTTCTGTAAGTTTAGAAAATAATTTTCAATGGAAATATGAACAAAATGCCAAGTAGCATGAGGTTCCTAACAATATCTTCAATACAAGTAGGATAATGCTAATTCTGGTTTTCACTCATTCTGCTTTTTCCCTATGGTTTACTACTTTCTCTGAGTCCTCTGCCCTTAGTACAACAGCAATCAGTATTCATGTTAAAGAGTGTGAAACATCTGGCTGGAGGAGTAGGCTGAGAGTTAATAATCTTTGTAGCATAATTTAAGCCTCACCTAGAATACCTACTATTCAAATATATTTTCTGAATCATATGTGAATTAATGATAATCTAAATAATAAGTGAATTTTTGCTTTCTTAACTATTGCTTCCTCTAATCTTTCTTAGATTTAAATGCAAGTGTTTGTGAGAAAGGAAATGTCATATGTAATTAGACATTTACTCTTTCATCCAACAAAGGTTTGTTGAACACTTACTATATGCCAGGTTCTGTTCTAGTTACCTGTATGTTTCAGCCTAAAAAAACCAAATTCCAGGGGATCTCTGGGTGGCTTAGTGGTTTAGCATCTGCCTTTGGCCGGGGGCGCAATCCTGGAGTCCCGAGATCGAGTCCCGTGTCGGGCTCCCGGCATGGGGCCTGCTTCACCCTCTGCCTGTGTCTCTGCCTCTCTCTCTCTCTCTCTCTCTCATAAATAAATAAATAAATAAATAAATAAATAAATAAATAAATAAATAAATCTTAAAAAAAAATTCCAACTTTCATGGAACTTATACACCGTTGGGGATTAATAGAAAATTAACACAAATATTTTTAAGTAAATTAAATAGCATCTTAGGAGAAAATAAGTGCTATGGGGAAAAATATATATATGATCATTTCAGAATTAAATAAGGTAGTGAGGAAAGGCCTCTGGAAGAAGGTGGGATTTAAGCAAAGATATGAAATGGAAATCTGGGAAGAGTGTTCCAAACAGAGAAAAGGGTTAACAAGGAGGCCAATGTGGTGGGCTTGAATGAGCAAGAAGCAGAATAGAGGTGATGATGTCACAAGACCTTTGGCTTCAACTCGGAATTAAGTGAATTGATTTTCAAATTTCTCTTCTTCCGGGCAAGAAAGATGCCCGACACTTAGGAGGGAATCAGAAACCTTGCCATCCTATATTAAAAAGGGGAAAGCACATATTTGATGGTAAAAGATAAAATAAAAACTCATTGTTTTCCCTGGGAACACTATTGTAAGTATACATTTAAGAAAAACAAACTGAAATGAAACAAAGGGATTCTAGCTTGAGGAAGAGAAGTGGCAGTTCTTAACAGGCAAGTGACTGAACATCAAAGCCGTAGATGGTGTGATTTGATTGAATGAGTCTTAGTCCATTTCCATGGAAGCCTTTGCAAAAAAGTGATTGATTCTCATCACTTTAAGCTGGTGTACTTTCCACACTGCCAGAGGCTAACAGAAAGTCAGCCTACACATAGTGCTTCTTAATATGGAGTCCATGGACCTCCAGTAGAGTAATACCTGGGACCCCTGTGAAGATGCAGATCCCTGCACCTTCCCCAGGCATACTGAACCATGCTGTCTAGGTACCTTTTATGCATCGAAAGTTTAGAACACTGAACAGAAAAGACAACTTCTTAAGGGTCTCTCTGACTCTGGATTTCTGTTGAGTGTCCCATGCCAGGTCCCCAAAATGTTCAATCCTGCAGTGTTTTATTTATGGTTATCAGGTCCACTAACCTTTGGATTAGATGAAGAAGAGTAGGAAAATGCCTTAAGCCATTGTCACAGTGAAAGGGAGATGATTTAAATGATTTTTAAATCATTGCTCATTTCTATAGCTGTATAATCATTAAAAAACGTGGTGTACCGTTAGTGGGTGAAGGTCACCTTTTCATAGTGATATTTAGATTCGAGGGTGTATTAATTCCTCTGAGTGCGCAGTTGTTGATTCTGATGATTTGAGCCAATGAGAAGTAATGATGGCTAAATACCTGAGATCTATTGCCTTGTTAGCTATGTTAACAGCCAATGACAACATAATCTAAAGAGATTTACTGTTTGGCTTTAGAAAAAGTACCAAGCTAAAAGTATAATTAAAACGTTTATTAACCTGCCAAGTTGAAAAGGATACGTTAAGACTTATGGTGTCTGAGGGGTAGCAATGACTTGTTTTCCATTTTGTCTTCTGCCCATCTTGCCCCATGGAATATCCCCACCTACTCTATAGGAACTGAGGAAATGGGCTCACTAATTTTCCTTAATTTCTAGTTTGAGCTCCAAAAAAGACTTGAAAAAAATCCTTTATTGCAAAGCCAACAATTATTGAAATTCTCTAATTACCCTGTCTGAGACCTTTCTTCATACCAGGGTGATGCAGACAGTCTCTCGATTTTTTTAAAGGTCAAATTACCTTGTTTCAGTATCTTCTGGTGATGGGCCAAATGGGACTAGCTTAATTTAATATGTCTCTGCTGCTTTTCTTTCAATCCAAAGGGGCATCCATCATGGGCTTCTCATTCTGACTGATATTGATCAGGTAATTGCCCTCAGCTTGTCAAACTATCATGATTTTTATAAGAATGAGTCTTTTCTAGAAGAAAGTAGACTCAGAGAGAGATACAAAGATTTCGATTAGAAGTTTGCCCAAAAGCAAGTCAGAGTAGAAATCAAGAATGTAAAAGAGAGAAAAAGGGAGCTGAGGGAAGGAAGAGGGGAAGGGGAAAAAGTAAAGATGGGTTGTGTCCTTCTAAAATGTAGTAAATGTGAATTAAAATTATCCACTTGGTACAATTCAGAAAAAAAAGATCCAGCCTAGCAATAGCACAATTCAGTGCAAGCCAGTTTTGACAGTAGCTGTGTGGTTACTCAGAGTAAGCATTAAAAAAAAAAAAAAAAAAAAAAAAAACCTGCCAACCTTATTTAATTTTGTCTCAGGATCAAGTGGATACTATTATTCTTGTGGCTCAGACCATCATTTTCTTTTTCTTTGCTAGTCTGATGTAAATAAACATTAGCTAACTCTTCGAATTACCCTAGATTATTAGGGTGAAGACGAAACCCAAAATAAAGGGAGAAACTCCTGCCAGGAAAGGAGTTCCTCCAGAAAATTGTCTAATGTTGATTTGGGGAATGTCTTCTTAATGTGCTGCCGTGCCATGCCCAGGGACAGCCCAGAGAGAGAGAGATTTTCTTCAAAACATGCTGAGGAGTATATGAGACAAATTCAGCTGTATGACTTTATGTGAAATAGAGCAAGGTTACAAAAGCTCATGTGAAGAGTCTAGAAAGTCAAAGTGAGCCCATATGTAGGGTATCATTATAGTTAACAACCAGGTAGTGCTAGGTGTCCAAGAGCTGTATCAAGGCAGCAGGGAGAGCCATCCTGCTATAAGGGCTTCATATAAGCATTCACCATCCCCGCAGATATTCAAGAATACCTTGATGCCCTTCAATTTAAGAATAAATAATGCAGCTTTGTCACCTTCAGAGAATTCTAGAAACAGTCCCTTAAAACACCAGTATCTTCAATGAAGCTGCTTTAAAACAACTGACTCTTTTTCCAGGTTTTTTTCAGATCACCATTAGCCTTAGGTCCTCCCCCAACATGTCAACACTGATTAAAAGTATATCTATGACCCACATTAAACCTAATATTGCTATAATTGTTTTTCCAAAAAAAAATTTGTAAATTTGCTTTTGAAATTATTTGGCTACAAATAACTGACTTAACTCACAACATGTTATGAGCTTTCAGCAATCATCATACCTAGATGAAAATTTTACAAAGTGAGAAAATTTAAACCTACACATTATTTTCAAATGCAGTGAAAAATTTTAATGAATACTAAATTTTATAATTAAGTTGGCACAATATCACATCATGTAGGTATTTAATATAACATTTATTAAAACATTCTGAGATTTTCTTTTTGGTATTTTGGATGCAATTTTTTGAGCAAAATACACAATCTTATATCACACTTTGAATGAATATGTATTCCAATATCGGGTTCTCTCAATGATAGCAACAAGAGCTATATAATGAAAAATATTGTTTGTTGGATCTTTATAGATTTGCAGTAGAATTTTCTTAAAGCTTCTCCTTGCAAAGTCAATCTCATATAGAAATTCATCCCCTATTAGAGGCCAGAAATATCCTGAATAACTGGCCAACTGTCTCACTAGTTACATGGTACTGAATGTTACATTACCCTAGGAGAGCATAACCCAAGGACAAGTACAATTCTGGGCTTCACCTGAAACGACTTATCTGTTCTCCCGAGAGAGAGAGCATCATAAGCTGAAGTTGCTGAGAAAGAAAAAGAAGATGCAGGGAAAATAAAGAAAATGGAAAGTGTTTTTTCGGTTTTTGTTTCTGGATTTCAAGCTTTCCCTTTCTATTTTAATTTCTTTCTTATACACTCTCCTTTTTCTTACCTGTGTCTCAAGAGAATTGCCGGTAGCATAATGGGCTCACACAGGCAACTCACACAGATGCAGCAGATCAAAGATCTGTTGTGTTGTCTCACTCTCTCAGTTTGCCTTCCCCCAGGAAAACGCCAATTACAGATTCCGATGACTGGTGCGCGTATGCACGTCTGCACGCGCTCTGAGTGTGTATGCATGTACAGCCACGAGTGGGTGCTTTAAGTGTTTTCCTGTGGGATTCACCTTCCCTGGATGGCGGGCAAGGCTGTAAACTTGCATCATGCTCACCAAAGGACCTCCCCACATCGCACCTTCTCCTTTCCTGGCTTCCAGCTCCAGCCCTCTGGGGTTATTCAAGCAAATGTAACACCTCCAGTAGTTGTGCAATCTTAGTTGGTGAACACTACCCGTGAATCCAGACAAACACCACGACTCAGGGTGAATGTTGTTTATTATATTCATATTTCTTGCACTTACATAACATCAAAATTCTTCTCTGATGTTCAGTGTTTGTGTGTGTGTGTGTGTGTGTGTGTGTGTGTGAAAGAGAGAGAGAGAGAGAGAGAGAGACAGATAGACAGACAGAGAGACACAAACTGCCTGGCCAATTTAACATATCTATTCTTCCACATTTTCAGTATTAACCACATTGCAGAAAGGATAAACCCTCTATTAAACTCCTTTTCTTTCTTAAGTTGTGTGTGGAATGTGCCTTTTGTTCTTCCCTGTGTAAAAATGTATAAAATAATCAAAGCACCATCACGACCTGACAGCTCAGGCCTTTGATGAATAGGGCTTTATGCTGGATTATCATATGACATTTCCAAACTAAATTATATTTATGGGTCATATAGGGTACTATCGCATTATCATCCCTCCACGTGAAGTTTGTACATTTTGCAAGAAGTAGAAGAGAGCAAGGGACCTGGAATTAGATGTCTTTATTTTTGAACATGAAAAAAATATTAAAAAGCCATCCATTTAACATTCCCTGACTGCTCATTTGAGGTTTCTGAACTTTTGAAGGGAATCTTATTCCTTAGATTCTACTACTTCATATACTTAATGTGTTTAGAAATCCTTAGAAATGAGCAAATCTAACACATTCTCTTTACAGATGAGAGAACTGAGCAGAGCTAGAAACAGAATTGAGCCCCAGTCTCTTACTTTCCCACCTAACCTCACAACTTGTTTAGACAATGATATATACAGACAAGACTTGGTAAAACCATCAAGGTGACAACATTTCACCTTCAGAGCAAAGTAAAGCAAAGCAAAGATATTCTAAATATGAAATATTAGTTCCAAAAAGAGTTATTTGCACTTTGTCAGACATTTTAGAAAACACTCCCATTCAAGTTTGATGATTATTTTTTTCTTGTTAAATTCAAAAGGACTTTTCCCTTTGAATACAATGTGATTCAATAATTTCTTAAGAATAGTAAGAGAAAGATACATATTGTCAGATACTATATTTCCTAAATGAGAGTCCTCAGAAAAGAGTGGCATGAGTCATATTTTCTTCCAGTGGCCCAAAGAGTACTGAGCTACATCTGACAAAACTCTAGCCCTGTTCTACTTGATACTGAGAGTGGCACTGGGGAATTCACCATCTTCTCAGGGAATGGAGGATTCATGGTCAGCTACGTGCACTGAATTTTGTATATTACATCACATTTTCTTTCAAGTCCACATTCTAGTTGGATATTTCTTGTGTACCATTCTTCTGCTATATATTGGTACAATTGTTAGGTACAATTGTTCCCTTCTAACAAGAAACACTGTAAAAAAAAAATCACAGAAACCTGTGAGTCACAAGGAAAAAAATGTAATACAGATGTGAAGCTGCTACCCTATATGCAGAATACAAGAGTATCCTTTACCCAAACTCACTTTAAATAAATGTGTAGTTCATCCGATTCCATAGCTGACCTACATGGAATTCTTTGTAACATTGATGTAAGATAATGAGACCTAAAATAAATTAAAATATCCAAAAGGGAGATAGTCATTATTAGTCCCATAAAAAGAATTATCTTAAGATAGAGTCTTTCAAGAAAGTACTTTTAAAAGTCCCTTCAGTTATGAAGCTGAAATTCTTAGCAAATTGCTGGGATACTTCTTAAATTCCTCCACCATGGGCTAATATTCCAAGGAGCAAAGTGATTATAAGACAAAATATTAATAAAAAAGCTATAACTTCTCTCCTTGATATTTCATAAATACTGGCATTGACATTTCTGAATTCTTTTTTTTAATTTTTTATTTATTTATGATAGTCAGAGAGAGAGAGAGAGAGAGAGAGAGAGAGAGAGAGAGGCAGAGACACAGGCAGAGGGAGAAGCAGGCTCCATGCACCGGGAGCCCGACGTGGGATTCAATCCCGGGTCTCCAGGATCGCGCCCTGAGCCAAAGGCAGGCGCCAAACCGCTGCGCCACCCAGGGATCCCCATTTCTGAATTCTTAAAGCTCTCCTTCTTACTCTGAATCATAGAGTTATACCTCTTTACAACAAATGGCAAAATCACCAAACCAGAGATCCACTGTAAAAACAAACTTACATGATCTCATGTAATAAAACAGGCACCGTGATAACTTGAAGAAGTGAAAACACACAAAAAAACCTGATTATCCTATCTTTTCCCTTTTATATACTTCTACATATGCAAAACAGCCAATTATGGTAGGTGTTTGTCCAATTCACTGGTATTGAAGTAGCCAAATCTGATTAAATGATGGGCCTCCAATCTTATGAGACTTAACATTAATATCTCAGATTATTTTGTTAAACAGTTAAACTAAATGATCTAGATTTTATCTACGTCATTTACATAGCAATAACTGTAACTTGCCAAATGGTGAATTTCACCTGAATCAGCTCAGAGTATGGATATTCATCCAGAGAAACTCTGTCTTGTAATTAATTATTTTCAAAGAATCAAAAATCATTTAGGGGACAGAACCAGAGCTTTCTTCCAGTGTTCTTTTAAACAAAATTGAATTGCTCCAGCATGGGACAGGAGCAAGCAGAAAACCACCTCATGTTCACAACCACGTCCAAATGCAAATATATCTCTCACTCTAAATGAAATAATGATACCCTATTTTCTGCAGTTTCATTGACAAATAATAAGAAAGATGTCTAAATGGGTGTGGTAGGGTGAGGGTTAAATCTGATTGTAATTAGATTGCAGTATGCATGGTCATGTGGTTAATAGTAAATTTTCCTTGATTAACTGGTCCTGTTTGTTAAGAGCTCCTATTAACATTAGTGCTCTCCGTGTTGGCTGTAGAGACACACCATGGACCAGTGCAAAATTAATGAAGGCAGGTACGCATGCTGATTAGAATGTGGCAGTTTAATAAACTCTTCTAACATTAAATTATTTAATGCATTCATGCTCATGCAGGCTATTCGATGGTCAGCTTGACCACCTATGTGTTAATATTGGGAATTGAAATGCAGAGAATGGAAGAGATATAGTGGTGTATGAGGTAATTAGCTCTCATGTCTGATAAATGGGGCAATACCTATGTGTGCGCATGTTTTAGCACACCACAAATGGTGCTTTCATTAGCTGGAATCTTCTGCAGAAATTTTTATAAATGGTTAGTTTGATTTTTGTACCATAAACAGTGGGTCTGATAGCTGTAGTCACTGTTAGTTGAATATTTGAGACAAATTCCAAGTCAGCTATAAAGTAAGCTGTCTTGTTAAAATAAATAGGTCACAAAAATTAGATAGGAAGCCTATCAATAAATATCTTCAATCTGGACATAATCCCTATCTATCATATAGAAAATACTTTATATAAATATAAATGATTTCCATATATAAATGCAAATATCTATTAGATTTTGAGCAAAATAATAAGCTCTTATATTTGTACAATGCTTTATAGTTTATACAATGTTTGCACATATGTTATTTTATTTAATCCCAATCAAGGCCATTTTAGGTGGATAGTGTTTGCTAATATGTAGCTGATCAGAGTCTTAAAATTTCAGTTCTTGTAACTCAAAGTCCAGAGCTTTTAGCACAATTGTACAACTGCCTACAAAACTAGTATTTGTAAGAATAAAGTATTATTTATAAAACAAGTTAATTTTTAGAAGTACATGAGCATTCTAGGAACTTTAGCTCTGTGGGAACAGGATACTACTTAGATTTGGTAGAAACACAAAAGAGGAAATGTCTATATTTTAACACATTCTAAATATGTACAAGTATTTTAAATGACTTACATTTTCCTAGATCCCAGGATACTTTCTGGCTGTATTTTAGGCCTTCACAGAAACTTTCATAGCGCTTACATGGAAATAAGTATGTTAACACAGAGCAATCCAGACTCCGGACCTTGGAGACAGTGTGGAAAGCATGAGCTGTACCTTTGGGAGGGCACTGATAAGCCTCATTATGGAATCACAATACCACCCACTGTGAAGGGAAGCTCTGAGAGAGTGGTTGAATGAATTTACCAGTCTGGGGACTTCTCTGATTTTGCCATTCCTGTCTTCAGTTCCTCTCCCATTCCTGGGATGCCAACTAAAATGAAAAGCAGAAAATCATTCTTGCCCTAACAAAATCAAAGCAGAGTAGCAAGAAAGCCTGGAAAGACTAAAGCACAGAATCCAGCCTCATAGATCTGTCTTCTTGTTTCAGACTTCTCAGGAATTGGCCATCTGACTCTGAGCAATTAGTTAACTTGCCTGAACTTCAGTCTTGTTAGAGGTAATTGAGGGAACTGGAGAGAGTCAACTTTCAAGTTCCTCAGATCTCTAGAAGGACCTTCCAAATGTTTCTTAACAGGAGAAAGCATGCCAATGATCTTTTTTGGCACAACCTCCCAAGAATAAAAAAGAACTACGGAATCCTGTGACAGAAAGTACTACCTTTGAACAGTGTACTCTGCAATCCTCCTCTTCCTAGAGGTCTAAATGGGTAATTGGGGGCACGAGCTGACCTTTGATTGCTCTATGGGCCTTAGCCAGCGGGATGGCTTGACTGAATTCCTGCTTTGTGTTTTTTGTTTTTGTGTTTGGGTTTTTTTGTTTTTGTTTTTGTTTTCTTTTTGGTTTTGG